CTAGCCTGGTCTACATAGCAAGCTTCAGGATAGCTAGGACTGTATAGAGAGACACTCTCAAAAAGGCAAACAAAACAAAAGTTCTGTGTGAATATGCAACCAAGAACCTATATAGGCAGGTGATAGGCCCTAGAGGAGAATCTATTACTTTGCTAATTGGGCATAGTATTAAACTGACTGCTAAGGACATTTGTTAAAGCATTCCCTTGGAGAGTCCAAGGAACTTTCCACAGAGGTTGCCTAAGGTGGTTGGAAAACACAGACATTTTCGTTATAATTTATAACAGAAGCTGGGCATGGTGGCTCATGCCTGTGATCCCAGCACTCTGGGAGGCAGAGACAGGTGGATCTCTGTGGGTTCAAGGCCAGCCTGGACAACAAAGTGAGTCTAGTACAGCCAAGACTACACAGAGAAAACCTGTTTTTAAAAACAAAACAACACTAAAAACATATAACAATAGAAAACGTAGATTTATGAAGTAGCAAGAAAAGTAATTTTATATTTGGGGTCACCAAACATGAGGCTCTGTCTGAGGAACTCGCTCTGTAATCCAGGCTGGCCTTGAACACAGAGACCTGCCTGCTTCTGCCTCCCGAGTGTTGGGATTAAAGATGAGTACCACCGGACTGGAGAGATGGCTCAGAGGTTAAGAGCACTAGCTGCTCATCCAGAGGTCCTGAATTCAATTCCCAGCAACCACATGGTGGCTCACGACCATCTATAATGAGGTCTGGTGCCCTCTTCTGGTGAACAGGCATACATGCAGGCAGAACACTGAGTACACAGTAAATAAATAATACATACATACATACATACATACATACATACATAAATCTTAAAAAAAGAAAAGATGAGTACCACCAAACCTGGCTGTTTGTTTGCTTGTTTGTTTGTTTGTTTGTTTGTTTGTTTTAACACAACTTTGGGTGGATAGGGAAGAAAGGGTGAATCTGGAAGAGTTGGGAGACAGGGTAAATATGATCAAAACACATTGTACAAAATTCCCAAAGGACTAATAAACATTATAGAGTTACCATAAAAATAAAAGTTTGTGTTGAAACTGGGGAAGCCAGCAGTTTTATATCTAGGAAATGCTTCAAGGCTGGTTGGGAAACACACAGATTGATGTTTGTATAACTGTTCCCAGAGGTTGCATTGTAAGAATGGCAACAGTTTAAATGCCACACAGCTGTCAGTAGAAATAAGGTTGATCCTAACATACTAATGAGGATGGTGACATCTAGATGCCAAGAAGAAGTGCAGCAAAGAGTAGGCAGGAGGTGACAGGCTTCTTGATTCAGAGATCTAGCTGCAGTTCCAGAGACCAGAGTTCACCCACACATGTAAAACAAAGTCTTAAAATAATTCTGTGTTCTACTGTAAGTGCTGTATGGTAATGTACCCCTCTAATCCTCGCAACTGGAAGACTGAGGCAGGAGGATAAGTCTGGGTTACAGGGTGAGACCAGCTGAAAAGAAAAGAGGGGGAAGGGGGCAAAGAATGGTAACCAAACCGTTCCTCAGGGTTGCCTCCGGGTCTGCTCGCTCCCCACTCCCTTTCTGACCAGGTCTCTATGTAGCTTTACTGGTCTGGAGCTGGCTACCGGGATCCACCTGCCGCTGCCTCTTCAGTCCTGGGATTAACGACCTGCAGCCCCAAGTCCTACTTTTTTAAACGCTTTGCAGTACAAGCCTTGATTCCCTGCCCCCAGAACCCACCACCCCGGAAGATGAAGACCCTCGGCGGAACTTTCCTTCCTTCTCCTAGTAAATGACCTTTCCCCAGAGGTACTTGGCCGTTAGGACCAGACCGACCTGGACTAAGTGCGGACATCATATTCGCCACAATTGGTTATCTCATGGAAAGGGCGGGTCCCTGAGTCTCTGATCGTTCCCACTTCGCTTGGGAAAAGGATGCGCTGCCTCGCACTCCGGATTTGTCGTGCAAACATCGCGGCCGCATTTGATGCGCCGGGTTGGGGACCTGGCTGGGAGCTCAGCCCGGGGGAGAGCGCTGCTCGGCAGGACCTTAGGGTCGCGCGCCTTCCTGCCTTCCTCACACACCGCAGCATCCGTTCTCCCGGGCTCTGAAGGGGCCGAGGGGACCTCCATCCTCCGCCAGCTTTAGAAACTCCTGGACGGCTCCTCTATCAAACCCCTGCCAGCCCCTAGGTGAGAGTGAGTCTATCTTCCTGTTCATCTCAGCCCTCCCCGAGGCAGGGGGCTGGCCCTGTTCCTCAAAGAGGAAGAGGTAACTGCAGTGCTGAGGAACCTAGCCAAGGTCACCAGCTGTGGTTCTCTCCACCCTAGGTGCTTTGATCTGCGGTTGAGGGTGGGATTAAGCGCTCCTTTCTCTCTATTCATCGCTTGCGAGGGGAATAGAAATGCAATCGAACAAGTCAGGACCTAGGTTCTCAGAGCCTCGGGTCAAGGTCACAAGCCATCTTCTGAAGTGTCAGTCGGGGAGGGGTGCTGTGAGGAGGCCGGCTCTCGGCCCCCAAGAGGTAAAGGCCGCAGAGAGGGCTAAAGGACCCTGCAACATTGGAAGGGTCGGGAGCACGGGGCCCACCAGCTCAGTTGTCCCTTCTCCGGACGTGCCAGGTTCTGGCCTTTGGGATTATGCCCATCTCCTCAGCAGGTTCGCTGGCAAAGCTGACCGAGACTCCAGGAGACTCTTAGCTCCACGAGATTCCAGAGCCAGACGCGCCCACGTGTCTGTATGTTGTGGTGTGTGTGTGTGTGTGTGTGTGTGTGTGTGTGTGTGTGTGTGTGTACCATGGGCAACACTTGTCCTGCGCTCAGCTCCCCGAGGTCACTTCAGGGTGTGGTGAGGAGTTGTGTATAGGTGTCCTTATTGAACCCTCTCGGCCTCTGACACTCACCCGGTTAGGGTGTTGTTGTGCGTGAGGGGCTAGAAGAATTTATTGGGCGCCCCCTCCGCCCCAGTAAGGCTTGTTCGGGTCTCACGACGCCAACTCTGGATGTGTGTGTGTGTGAGTGTGCGCACAGAAGGGACCCTGGGCAACATTTGTCCCACTCTGGCTCTCTGACGCCGCCAGGGCAGCGACAGCGCCTGCCTGAGGAAGACGGGCAATCGCTCTTCACGGAATGCTGGGGACCGGTCTGGAGAACTGTTGCGTTAAGTAGGTGGCAGCTGGGGACCTAAGGACGAATCCGGGGCTCGCCAATGGCTGTGGTGGGCGGGGAGAAGACCATCAGCGGGACCATCCTGGGCCTGACCTCCCTTAAGGGCTCCAAGTGCCCTGAGGCCCTGTCTGCACGCCTTAAAGTCCGCGCTGCCCTCGGGGTGGGGTGGGGGGTTCTCGGAAGTCCGGGGTCTCAAGAGTCAGCCCTAAGGCGCCGCGCAGGAAGGACCCCCCGAAGGCCGCGGGCTCCCACGCGACCCCGGCACGGTGCCCTGCAATCGCTCTGGAAGTTCGTTTTGCAGTCGTGGGGTGGATCGGTTGGTTGGTTTTTGTCTTTGAACCTTGGGCATTGCATGTGGACTCTCCACCTCCGGGGCTGCACGTCCTTGGAGCTGGAGCCGGCGCCCCTCGAGGCTCAGGGGGAGGCGGGCAGAGGCCCGCGCGGGGGCTGACCCCTCTCCCTGACCCTGTGTTCTTGACGCTCGGAGTCACGACCCCGGGTGGTTCTCTTACTGGACGCGCTGATCTTGCCCCCCGGGGCCGGCTGGCCCTGAGGGGGGGGGGGTCTTCGCTCCTCAACCTGCGTGGTCAACAAGACAGACGCATCTCGGGGCCAGTGCCGCAGCGGCGGAGGAAAGGTCGGCGATCACCGAGGCGCCTTCTGCTGCCTGGCCTGGGACTTGTCGTCGCTGGGTCTCCAGAGGAGACCTGGGCTGAGATGGCTGGGGTTACTGGGAGACTCGAGATGTGGCGAGAAGGGGGGCTGGATCTCTAGGGAGGCGACGCGTACCTGTTCCTCTAAGTGCTGCCGGGACCTGCTGGCTCTCGCCTCGGAGTCGGCTCGGGACCCCATCTGCTTGCTCTGTGCCACCCAGAGCCCACACCTCCGCTCTCTTGGCTGGGTACTCCAGAGCGCCCGGAACCACCGCCTGCTCCGTAGCCGGTGCGCGGTCTTGCCCTAGGATCTCGGCTGAAGAAGGGTGGAAGGGGTCCGTGGGGAGCGTGGACCGAGAGTTAGAAGGGAGGAGGAGCCAAGTTGCGGGGTCAGTGTGGACAGCAGGTATCGGAAACAGGCATTCCTTGGTCCAAGGTACTTTCAGGGGCAAAGGAGAAGGCGACCTGAGCCAGCACCATCCAGTCTGGCGACGCTGAGGCAGACGGCGGGGATTCAACAAAAAGGAAGGACTTTTAGAGAAGAGTATTTAAGACAGTGTGAAGAAGAAGAGCTCTTTGGCTTTTGGGGGTGAAGTAGCACGCTTTTGGCTTTTGGGACTTTGAGCTTTTGGTTTTTAGCTTTTACGTTTTGGTTTTTTTTCCCCCTTCGGAGTAGGGAGGTTCAGCTGGTTGCCTCTCTGAGCTAGCAGGTTTCACCCCGGCATCTGGATCCCGAGTCTTCACTTGGGAAAAATCAAACGACTTGGGATTTTTTGTTGGTTTGATTTTCGAGATAAGGTTTCTCTGTGTAGCCCTGGATGTCCTGGATTCACTTTGTAGACCAGGCTGGCCTCGAACTCAGAGATCCGCCTGCCTCTGCCTCTCTTGAGTACTGATATTAAAGGGGTGCAGCACCATGTCCAGCGGGATTATATATATATATATATATATATATAAGTATATATAATAAAATACATAATATGTTTATTATAAATTTATATAATATATAAATGTTGTGATGTATTTATACATATATATTTATATATATATAAAACAACGTGTGCCTTTTGCATTATTTTTCCAAGTTAGAGTTGGCGGGATGGAACTGGGAAGTTTGCTCATTGGCTTTGACCTGGGCCTGGCTGGGCTCCCGAACTCAGCGACCTCGGTTTCCCACAGGTCTGTGAAGCTCAGCCTGCAATGGCCCTACCGCCTCCGGGTGAGACCGAGTCCCAGGACCAAGCGAGCTACCTGCCAGCACCCCGCCAGCACCTGGCTGCTTGCTACGCCCCTCTCTCTGGCTACGGTCATTGCGGGAACCTCGCGGCAATGGAGGAGGATTTTCAGCCTCGGAAGCTGGCGGCTGCAGTGTCTGCGTCTCAGGCGATAGCCCCCCACAATGCTTTTCGGATGATGGCTCCTCCCTTGCAGAGCGAGGCGCTCTACAATCTGCCCTGGTTCAACAAGTTGTCACCTTGGTACCCAATTCCTCGCTTTACTCCTGAGGTCCCACAGTTTCTGTACAGCACTGACTCCGGTTCCAGCAGCCAGAATTTGGTCCCCGTCGGTGGCCAATCCAACAGAGGTCAGTGGTGGGGAGCAGAAGTTTTACGTCTGCCATCCCCGAGTATTGCTTCTCTACCAACTGATTTTAAGGCCTCCCAGTCACTACCTGCCCCCCAAACCCTGAACCAAGAAGGGAAGCCGCCTCTTCGCGGCTTCAGCTTCACAGAGGAGGAGCTGCGCTTCGTTCTGTACGGAGCCATCGCTAGCCCGGGGCACCCGGCCGGCCTACTCCACGCAATTTCAGGCATCCTGGTTCCCACAGACGGCTCTGGTAAGGGCATCTGCATCCGGGGGTCGGGGTTGGGTGGAACAGGTCCTGGCCACGCGGTGTTTAAAAGGTGATCTTGTCTGGGTTATGTGTACCTCGAAACCTCAGGCTCTAGGCTGGCTTCTCAGGTCCTCCTTGCTCAACTGTGTAATTCCAGAGGCTGGTTTTAGTGCGCTCTGAGGACTAGGAGCAAAATGGTTTCGCTGGGTGGTCTTTGGGGATGTAAAAAGTACCTACACGATGGCCTCTAGAAATGCCTACCTGGCAGCTCTCTGCCTCAGAAAAGCATTGCCTATGATTCTCAAGTTTGCAAAATAGGAAGTCCATTGCCTACCGAACCTTGCCCGAAGGGTGTTCTGAGTCTCAAAGGAGCAATTGTGTACAAAAAAAGCCTTTGTCAAAGGAGCAAGAAAAACATTAAAGGATAGATAATACATATTAAATCTAAAGCAGTCTCTAAGGACTGAGGGAACCCCCTCAGGAAGGCAACTCATCATACGTTTATTTTTAATTAGAATAATTTAAGGTTGTCTTTTTTCCAGGGTCTAATCATCTTAATAAAACCCCGGACAAAGACCCTCTTCAGCTTCCAGAAGGTAGGCTGCACTTTTTGCCTGGATTTATTTCCCAGAACTAATGCTCCACCGCTCTGCTCATTCTCCTCTTCTCTCCTGCCTTGGATTCGCCTAGGTCTCTGCCTCATGCAGACAGCGTTTGGTGATGTCCCACACTTTGGTGTCTTCTGTAGCAACTTCATTGCCAAAGGAGTGAGGTTTGGGCCTTTCCAAGGTAAAGTGGTCAATGCCAGCGAAGTGAAGACCCACAGGGACAATTCTCGGATGTGGGAAGTAAGTGTGCTGCGGATGGATGGGTCTGCTGAAATTGAAAGAAGACCTGAGGTAGTGGGGGCGGGGACCCGGTAGCTTGAAGGCCCTTCACCCCCTGCTGAGAAAGACAATTGGGGCTCCCTCAAACCAGCACCCCGCTCAGTGTGGAATCCGGTCAAGAACTCCACGTTATATTAACAAACAAAACCAAGTGCTTTCAGTACGGTAGAGTGCTAAAAGGGAAGAAATAAATTTTTAGACTTTCATATTACTTTCTTACAAGAGAAGCCAACACTCTCCAAGTTAGTGGCTGCCTCAGGGAGGCTACTGAGGTGGCAGCTTTTCGTTTACAGGAACCATTTGACAGAATGTACCAGGTAACTTAAAAATCTTCTAAATGCTTTGGCCTTGAGCTTCTAGGAATAGAGTTTAGGAAGATACTCTGAAATTCAGGCACTGTGGAGGACCAGGATTAAACAGTTGTTTACATGAAAAGCTGCTGCACTGGGTCAGACCCTAGCTCCACTCCAGTGCCTGCACACTAGATGCAAGATAACGCCTCAGAACTCTTTAAGAGCCGGGGTCAAAGAAAACCCATTTATTTCTCTTACCTTTATCTATACGCTTTTTTTTTTTTTTAAAGACCAGGCTGGCCTTGAACTCACAGAGATCTACCTGCCTCTACTTCCCAGAGTACTGGGATTACAGCCTTGCACCACCAAGCCCAACTAAATTAACATAAGATAACCATAGAAACGCAGGGGTCAAGACTGTGATAAGGGCATAAATCCATTTTAAAGTATGTTATTACCTAATCTACGGAGGGACTGATCGCTTGCCTTATCTACCTGAAATGCTGGGTTAAGTCCCCAGCCCTGTATAGCCCTGTATGAGAGCCCGTCCAGAAGAATAAAAATAAAAATGTTTATGTGCTACTTCTAATCTTATTCCATTTAGATTTTTGAAGATGGCCACCTGAGCCACTTTATCGACGGGAAAGGTTCTGGGAACTGGATGTCCTACGTCAACTGTGCCCGGTTCCCCATGGAACAGAACCTGGCCGCCGTGCAGCATCAAGGGCAGATATTTTATGAGAGCTGCAAAGACATCTCCCAGAACCAGGAGCTGCTTGTGTGGTATGGGAGCTGCTACGAGAAGTTTCTGGACATTCCCATGAACCTCCAGGTCGCCTCCGAGCAACGCAAGCAGCTGTCTGAGCCAGCTGAGGGTGAGTGCCTGCCGCTGACCTGTCCAGCGAGAATCTAGGCTAAGCTTGTTCCCTAAAGACTCCTAACTGAAATTCAGGGAAACCAAATAAGATCGCTCGGTAGAGACAGAGTGTTGCCATCTTCCTGCAGCTTCTCTTTTTATGAATATCTATCATTCCCCCCACCACCACCCCAGAATAAAAAAAGTAAAATAAATGAGTGCATGCCAATTTTACTGTGGGTGAGCCAGTTTGATTCATCCCTGCTCAGGCTAGCTTTCTCAGATGGTGAGCTGCAGGAACTTAGTGGGGGTGGGAAATCAATTTAGCGATTGAGACCGGCATTAAAGAAAAAAAAAAGAAAAGAAATTAGGAAATATTGATGAGAATCACTTAAGAAATAATAAGCATAGTTAACCTTTTGTTTTATAGAGATGCATTATACGTAGCATAATGTATCCAGTTAATACTGTATTTTTCTCTGACTGAGGCCTCTTGCTTCCTATACACATATCATTGAGCTACATATACTTCCAGCCTCTAAACCCGGCTTTTGTGCACGCCTTTAATCCCAGAGCTTGGGAGACAGAGGCAGGAAGATCTCTGAGTTTGAGACCAGCCTGGTCTACAGAATACGAAGTTCCAGGCCGGTCACAGTTACATGGTGAGACTGTGTCTCAAACAGAACAACCAAAACCTCACTACTTCCAGCACCTGAAATGAACTCTAATTGTGGCAAATTTGAAAAATGCTGGACTAGACTTCAGCTGTCAACACCTTCCCTCCCTTGCCTTTTTTTTTTTTTTTTTGACATAGTCTCACTACATAGCCCAGATATTGGAAACTTCTGCCCCAGCTTCCCAAGTGCTTCCAAGAATGCCACAAAGACGCTGTGCCGCTGAACTTATCTCCAGGCCTGCATTTGATTTTTTTTTGGAGGGAGGGGGATGTTAAGATTCAGTAACTGTTAGAATCAGACCTGTGAATTAATGAAACAAGATCCTTTCAATGTCTGATGGTGTAGTCCAGGCTGACCTCACACGTCCTATGCAGCCAGAAATGGCCTTGTGCTCCTCTTCTGCCTGGGTTCATAGGCGTGTGCCACTTTGCTCAGCTATGGTGTCTATTTATGGTTTTTCAGATCCTGTTTGAGGCAGTGAAGCGGGGGGGGGGGGCTATGGTTTAACACGCCCTCCATCCCTCACATCCCTGTGTTTGACAGAGTCTGCAGAAGGTTACAGATGCGAACGCTGTGGAAAGGTGTTTACGTACAGATACTACAGAGATAAGCACCTCAAGTACACTCCCTGTGTGGACAAGGGGGACAGGAAATTTCCATGTTCTTTCTGTCAAAGATCCTTTGAGAAGCGTGACCGACTCCGGATCCACGTTCTCCATGTCCACGAGAGGCACCGGCCCTACCTGGTGAGCAGTTGGTGGTTTTAATGTCCCTCTTTCCATTTTTCCACTCCCCCTATCCTCCCGAACACACGGAGAAGAGCTAATGAGGCTGGTGGGGGGATTTGATGCCCGTCTCACCATGGCACTGTGGAGGAGGCAGGTGGGCCTGTGTCAGGCTCTGTGCCCAGGACAGAGGAGAAGACAGCGGCAGGAGTGGTCTCCCAGGTCAGGGAGGTGGGTCTAGCACAGAAGGGCAGGGATTGTCCTGCAGCCTGGGAAAGGACTCGGTAACTGTGCCTTGCTCCAACCCAGTCAGGCATTACATAGTCAAGCCACAGGCACAGAGGAAGCATTGAAATGCTCCAAAGAAAGGACGGCCACTATCACAGACCAAAGACTTTGTGAGGATGAGAAGCAGCGACAGCGCCAGGCGGCCATCACCTTCCAACATGGATGCCCATTGCTCTGCCAGGCTCGGTCAAAAGGACAAAATCAACCTCGTCCTTAGAGAAAGACGAGATTACGTGGTTTTGTTACAGTATTTTTAAAGTTATGTGCATATGTGTGGGTTTGTGCATGTGTGACTAGAGTGCCCTGAGAGGCCGGAAGAAGCCAGTGCATCCCCTGGGACTGGAGTTACAGATGGTTGTGAGCCACCCTGGGTACTCTGAGAGAGCAGTTCACGCTCTTACCAACCAATTTGACTCTCCGGCCCCCTGTAATAGTTTTTGATAAAGCATTTTAAACTAGAACTAGACTACATCCTCAGCTAGAATAGCAAGTCAAGTGCTCTTCACCAGAGCCAGCTGCCGTGTGTGTGTGGGGGGGTGACTGTTTGGAGCCTATTTCTCCTCTGTCACTTTCTGAGTAGTCTTCTGAGAAAGGGTCTCTTGCTGAACTTGGACCTTGCCTGGCAGTCAGCAAAGCCCAGCCATCCTGTCTCTGCCTCCCAGATCCCTGGGGTTAAAAAGATGTGCTTGGCCACACACACCTGTCTATTTAAATGGCTGCTGGGGTTTTGAAGACATACCCCTCATGCTTTTGCACCCAATTTTGCATCTCCCCAGCCACGGGAAGGTTCTTGGGTCCCTTCTCTTCCGCAGGAGTTTGCCAAGTTGCTTCCTCCTTCACCCTTCATGATTATCAAAAGTGCTGGTCAACCCTGGGTTTTAAATCTCCATCCAAGATGCCTCCCAAAAGCAAGAGGCCGCTCCAAGAATGCCACACCCTGAATTTCCCTTGGTTTCCCATATGACAGTCCTGTCCTGGGAGTTCATGGGCTTTTTGTTTGTTTTTAAAAGTCAACATTAATACTTGATTTCACCAGAGGGAGAAGAAACAGACACACAGAACTTTGGATTTCGGGTTTGTTTTCAGTTTGGGTATTAGTAGTTGCATGCAGTTTGAGCACATTTTGAACAGGTGCCCCACCACTGAGCAACAGCCAAGGGCTAACATCAAAAGATTCGGGGTACCTACTTGACACCTTCATTCTGCCAGATGTGGGAGCTCTGCAGTCTCTGGACCCAGGAATGCCCGAGGCGGCTTCACGGCTGACCTGAGCTGTGTAGTCTCAGGCAAGCCTGGCACACTCAGCCAGTGGCATGGACACCCATAGATGTGCGTGGGATGAAGAAAAGAGTTCTCGGGCTGTCAATCTGGCAGCCTGTGTTAAAATGCTTGCCCTGGCAGCCTGAGTTCGTTTCTGGAAACCAAAAGTTGAAGGAGAAACCAATTCTAAAGTGGTTTGGTTTTCTGATCTCCACACATGTGCCATGTCTCTCTCTCTCTCTCTCTCTCTCTCTCTCTCTCACACACACACACACACTAATATTAAATAAAGTGCATTTTAGCCAGACACGGACATGAGCATCAGAGGCAGGCAGGTCTCTGTGAGTTTGTGGCATGCCTGGTCTACATTAGTGAGAGTTCCAGGACAGCCAGGGCTACCTAGAAAGATCCTTTCTCTAACAAATGATAAATATATTGAGACAGAATTGTTGGGGGAAGATGGAATTCCAACGCTGTTTTTTTGTTTTCTCCATAGTGTTCAACGTGTGGGAAAAGTTTCTCTCAGTCTTCCAGCCTGAACAAGCACATGAGAGTCCACTCTGGTGACAGGCCGTACCAGTGTGTGTACTGTACCAAGGTAGGTGAGACCATCTTTGGCACCAGCCATCTGTAACAGGGAGCATAAAGCCTCACCTATAACTAATTCAGCTTGGGTAGACATCAGATTACCAGCCAATACACATTTTAAGCAAATCCATCAGGTTCTAATTAGTTTCCTTTTTGTTTTGTCCCAAGGATCAAACGTAAGTCATTGGGCTTGGTGGTAGGCTCATTAAGTTCACAGCTGTTGACCACAAATGTTCTCTATAGATTTAAAATCAGAGCTTCTCTCTCTCTCTAGTTTTTTGAAACAGGATTTTTTTCATGTAGTTCTGACTGTCTTGGAACTCACTACACCTGGCTGGCCTCTAGCTCACAGAGATCCACCTGCTTCTGCCTCCCAGGTGCTAGGATTAAAGGTGTGTGCCACCGCTACCTTGCATAATTAGAATTTTCAATCTAAAGAAATAAAAGGCCGATTGCCCATTCTGGTGAAATGAACCCCTTTGCTGAATGGTGCAAAGTTGGCTCTTCCCGCTTTCTGCCCTCTGCAGAAGTTCACCGCCTCCAGCATCCTTCGCACACACATCCGCCAGCACTCCGGCGAGAAGCCCTTCAAGTGCAAGCACTGCGGTAAGCCGTTCGCATCCCACGCCGCCCATGACAGCCATGTCCGGCGCTCACACAAGGAGGATGACCACAGCTCCTGCAGTGTTTGTGGGAAAGGCTTCCTGGATCAAGATGCTTTCTACGCCCACATGAAGCTTCATAAAGCCTGATGGCTCTCCAAGAGCAGAGCCAGGGGAAGACCAGGGACTAATTGCTGATGGGCTTGTGTCACAAGGACAGATGGTTGTGGTGTTCAGTGAGAACTGGGAGAATGGAGTGGTTGGCCTGAAACCCTAGGAATAAGGTCCTGGATCCTGTGATAACAGAAAAGAAGGCCCTTCCTCTCCTGTCTGCCTTGAACGCCCAGTTATAAAGTGTCTGTAGAGGGTGACTATTTTCTTCAGAGCAACGACAAAAAGTGTTTTGTTTTAAAGATCTGATTTTATTTTCTGTGCATGAGTGTTTGTTTTGCCTCGTGTGTGTATGTGAGCTGCATGCCTAGTGCACGTGGAGGCCAAAGGAAGCCGTCAGCTCCTCTGGAACTGCGCTTCTGGATGGTTGCAAACCACCATGTAGGCACTGGCAATCGAACACGGGTCCTCCTCGAGAGCAGCCAGTGCTCTCAACTGCTGCGCCATCTCTCCAGGTCCTGGTTCTGGGGTTTGGGTTTGGTGTTATTGTTGGTTTGGCCTTTCTCTATCTTTCTGTCTCTGTCTCTCTCTTTCTCCCCCTGTCTTTTTTTGGTCACCCACGCTGGCTTTACATTAGTGATATACCTGATAGTGACCTTGAACTCCTGATCCTCTTTATTTTCACAAGTGCTGGAGCTGGATTATAGGAATAAGCTAATCACACCTGAGCAAGTTCATACTAGCTAGAGATTCAATATGCTAATACGTTATAAATCTTCTGAGGTGTATTACTGTTTCATCTTCATTTTCATTCCTTTCTCTCCTAGCTGACCACACGAAAAAATACCAAGTAATACAGCTAGCACAGACAAAATCACTTCCAGGGCACAGGTATTCTTGTTGACATCTAATTTTTACCAACTGGGAAAGAAAATTATATCTGAATGAAAAAAGGCTGAAAATAAACACGTATGCTACTCTCATTTTAAAGCTGATTCCTTTTTTCTTTCCCTTTTACTTCTTTTATATTTATTTTATTATTTTGCTTTTTCAAAATGGGGTTTCTCAGCCAGGAATGGAGGCACACACCTTTAATCCCAGCACTCAGGAGGCAGAGGCAAACGGATCTCTGTGAGTTCAAGGCCAGCCCGGTCTACAGAGTGAGTTTCAGGACAGCTAGGGCAAGACAGGCTTTCTCTGTGTAGCACTGGCTGTCTTGGAACTCTATTTGTAGACCAGGCTGGCCTCAGACTCAAAGAGATCTGCCTCCTGTGTGCCACAAATGTCAGGCTCCTCTTTCCTTTTTTTTTTTTTTTTTTTAACTTCTATTTTAATTTTTTTTTATATTTTATTTTTCCTCAACTCTTTAATGGTAATACAGGAGGCAGAGCCACCAGCTGAGAAGTATGCTATGCTTTAGCCAGGTGTGGTAACTCACATCTGGAATTCTGGCCAATAGGAAGCGGAGGCAGGAAAATCACCTTGACTTCAAGGCCGTCCTGAACTATAGGGTGAGACCTTATGATAAAAAAGGGAAAGAAAATGGGCAAGATGTCTCCAGGCTGGCGTTGAGTGCGCAGTCAATGTTGCTAATGCGGAGATAAACCTGTTTCATGCAGGTGACACAGCCCGCTCAATTTGAGCCTTATCGGTTTAAAACAACCCTGTGTTTGCCCCACAACAGATGATACCGAAGCTGAGAGGAGAAAGCGGTGGGAGGTCACGTGTCCCTGAGAGTTTAAGCCACGCCCCCTCCTTCAAAGGACAAACTCTTAAGAAACCATTGCTGGACCCAGTGAAGGGAGTAGCCTTTCCCTGCCCGTTCATCGCTTTGCAACCACAAACTCACGTTACTATTCATATAGCAAGAAGTCAGAATAAGCGAGGTGGAAGTGCTCCCTGGACAAGCAAAGCACTAGGGATGTTCCCTACCCCTGCTGGGGGATCTATTGACCGTCTAGGCCACTGGCCTCACCTCCACCCAGGACACATGCCCATCGGTGCAGCAAATTCAATATGGAGCAGATGTCCGCAGCTGTAGGGCAGCCCTCTGAGTGAGCAATGGATGTCTCACAGGTGAACAGCCGTGACAGATTTTCCTCCGGGGAATTCCTTGCTGCCTTGACTAGGGCTGAGTAATTGACCCTAATGGGAATGTGCCCTGTTGTTTTAGGACTGTTTTAATTCATGTTAATTAACTCAGAACAATGGTCTTTTGAGAAGGTCCTGGACTCATCGTGTAATTAAGCAGCCTTCCTTGACTGCTGGCTCCGAATATATTGCTTGAAACATTTTCTTACTGTTTAGGGGTTTGAACGTTATTTTTAAATCAAAAAGTAAGACAACTCAACGGTCTTTATTTTTTTTTTTTTTCACCCATTAAATAAACCAGATAGGACATTTTGGTTTTTTTGAACTTGAATAGCAAAAAGCAGAAAGGAGGTTTTGTGTGTGTGTGTGTGTGTGTGAGAGAGATTTCTAATCATCACTGTGCATGCCAAATACACATTTCCATACTAACGGAGAATTTAAGGGCCGTTTCTTTCACTCTGGCTTTGGGAGGTTTGGCCCTGTACGTCTCAGTTTTGAGGACATGGCCAGTTTCTTGAGTTGATCACCTGAAACACTTCAGGTTACTTCTTCAGAAATTAGACTTTAGTCACCTGTTCTAGTGGCGAGTTGAGCTGGCTAATAACAATGAAGAGAAGAGACTAAGACTTAGAGCACAAGCATCTCGTGGAGAAACAGAACTTACAAAGCTGAATGGGATTACAACTGTGAGCTAATACAGTTCAATAGTTTAATAATACAGACAGTAGAGGAGGACAGACTTGTACCGGTTCACCAGCTTTCCTCAGTGTGTAGCACTAGGCAAGTAGTTTGATGTCTTCACCTATAATATGGTGCGGTAGTTATGTCGTAGAGTTTTAGAAGAATTAAATGATAGCATATGAATGCTGGATATTTGCTAAGCGTTCCCTCAGACCTGTTAAGGAAAAATAGACAATTATATGAATTTTATTGATGATACACATTCTATCAATTCTCAAAAACATAGTTCCTTGATTGACAACATCACCCAGGGACTTGTTTAAAATGAACAGTCTCCAAATAGAAGTGAATGGTGTTCTCAGCGGATCAGAAAGTGGAGGTAGACAGCAGTAGTTCGGAACTGAGATATTGCTACATCAGCTTCTCTCAGCTCATACTTCTTTTCCATACCTGAGGTGATATCTGTGCATTCGGTAGAGTTTTCTGTTTTGTTTTGTCTTTGTCTTGTTTTAGTTTAAAAGGGGCATTTTATAGGGTATGTGTATGCATGGGATGAGGTGCCCAGAAAGTCAGGAGAGGGCCTAGGATGCCCTGAAGGTGGAGTAACAGGTGTCTGTGAGCCCCTGATGGGGCTGCCGGGAATCCAGCTCTGACCCTCTGCAAGCACAGCGAGCATTCTTAACAGCTGAGCTATTTCTTTAGGAGTATGCATGCACCTTGAGAATGTTTCTGAATAGTTTTTTAAAAGCGGTACTTACGTAAACGGTAGAAGTGGACAAAGCCACTGAATTCTGGGGTCCTAAAAAGGGCACCCAGCTGGAGCTCCTACTGCCTTGGGGTCCTTACCCTGCCCTGGCTGCAGTCAGAGGGCCGGATACTCCCCTGGAGAGGAACCACACTTTTCAGAGTGTCCATCCCAGCCCTTCTAAGTGGCCACCCATCACTTTTCATTTCTTCCTCTGAGAGAGCTGATGACCACCGATGACATACTACCTGTAATCGATTCCCCTAAAAGCCACAGAGGTGGAGGGAAGGCTCTTCAATGGTAGCTCTGGGCTCTTAGCAGATGGGCTCATAAACGCCCCCGGTTTCATTCAATAACAATCTTTGCCAAAGCAAATGGGTTTCAGGCTCCCGCCCACACACAGGATCCAGGCCTCAACATCAGTGCTGTGCACTCTCTAGGTTCTGAAGTGATTCCTTTTCGGAAAAAAACTACGATCTTCAGGACAGACTCCACTCAGGGAAAATCTGTTCATTTGGCTATTGCACATACTAGCGTATCTGTGCCTAGCACTGCCATCAGCATTCTCTGAGTTTAGTGTTAATTCAGTTAATGATTGGCTGATAAAATGGCTGAAAAGCTGTTAGAGCGAGATGGGCTTACCTGCTGTGATACAGAATGAGTTGAGTCTTCCTTCAAATTTCCAACAGATTCAAATTATTCATGTCATGTAAAGCATTTTATGTTTACTTAAGAGCACATAAAGAGGGGCTGGAGAGATGGCTCAATGCTTCAGAGTACTGGCTGCTCTTCCAGAAGACCTGGGTTCAATTCCCAGCACCCATATGGCAGCTCACAACTGTGTAATTTCAAGACCTGGCACCCTCACACAGATATACTTACAGGCAAAACAAAAATGCACATAAAATTTTAAAAAATACTATATATATGTATATATATACACATACATATATGTATATAAAGAGCACTTAAAGATTTTTTTTCCATCTACCTTCTTAGGAAATAAGCATCTTATCATTTTCATTCTCCCTCTCCCTCCCCTTTAGATAGAAGACTCACACTATAGCTCAGGCTGTCCTAGAATTCACTCTGTAGCCAAGGCTAGCCTTGAACTGATCCTTCTGCCTCAGTCTCTGAAATACTGGGGATTTAATATATGTGGTACTGTAACTAGCTATGTTTCTTGTTTATTAGTTTGAGACAAAGGAGTCTCACTCTGTAGCATTGGCTAACCTAAAACTTGAACTCATTGTGATCTCCCTGCCTCAGCATCCTGAGCGCTGGGATTAAAGGCGTGAGCCACCACGCCCTGCCCTACCTGGCTAAATTTCTAAAAGCAGATTTTCACTAAACTGTGAGCTCCTTGCTAGAAGGATTGCCGGCTTCTTCTTTTCCTCCCTCTGTCCTCTCAGGATCACTCAGTGTGTAATTTGAACTGTTTCCGGTCACCTGTGACTTGCACAGCTGGGCCCCGGGGATTGGCACGATCAGTTTTGCTGGGGAAGATTTGGGGATTAGAAAT